TTTTTTTTTTGTATTTTCAGCATGCATGGGGGATTAACTAAATGGGCGGTTAATACAATTTACAAATATTTCGAATAAAAATGTTTAGTTTATGCCAAAAATAATGTCATTTAGACCAGTGTGAATTGTATAAATAACTTTTAAATAAAAGAACCGGATAACAGAAAAGTGTGCCAGGGAGTGATTTTTTTCGTTCAAGCTGAATGCAAAGCAATATCGTCCAATTGGAGAGTCTTTCATATAACGGCAAATTTAGAAACGCTAAGAATGCGCTTGTTTGGTGACTAATGAAACCATTCCGCTACAATTTTCAAGACTGCATAAATGGACTTAAAATGGGCGTTTTCCACCCTAACTGTATTTTGTTAATGTATGTACTTATTTGCTTCAAACTAATATTAACTTATGAATCGATTTCTAATATTGGACAATTTTGACTTTATTCACCACGATTTTGAAAACTGACCAAATCGGTCCTTTAATATTACATAAACATCCGGAAACATAACAACTTCTGAAATTAATATCGTCTAATTTTTTTTTTTTGCATTTTTCACTTGGTGGCTGAAGTAATGGAGAATTGAAAATTCATAAGAGAAAATTATCGTTTTTGTAAGATATATCGTAATATCTTAAAAGCTTGTAGTCTTATTGCAAAATGATATATAAACGTTAGATACTAAATTTAATAAACTTTAATTTGATATATCGTCCTGTTTATAACAATAAACGCATTGCATAGATATTACGAGCCAAAGTTTCATCTTCAAAATTCATACACTTTGAATCAATTGCGCGGGCCAAAGATAAGTTTTGAATTAATCTTTCGTGGCCAATAACTATTGGCTTAGACCTAAGACAACATAATATTACTGTTACAATACCGTCAAATGCCTTTTATTTTCCCTCATATAAAATCGACCCAGCCTAATGTACATATACACTGGTGACCGGATAATTGAAAACAATTTGTCTTTACATGTTTAGAAAAGTAATTTTTTTATTTATTAGCTTTAATTTATTTTTTACAAAAATATAATTCAACGTACAACGAAAACCATACATGTACCTCAAAAAATCGCCAAAATTTAAAAAAATGGTCATTAAAACTTCAAACATATTGATTGAAGATCTAGAAAAAAATAATTGGCGCATAATCATCATATTCTGCTTATGATTTTAAATAGTTCGTTTTATAGTTAAATGAACGTTTTCAATATTCACGCCAAAGTTGCTTACTTCTATTGGAAATTATAGATTATATGTCAAACCGTATGAGATACTGTTTTTACCCTGACAAGTGAAGTAATAGTTTTCTTGTATCCGTGACAGCATAACTTCACCCAGAAAAAGGTTTAGTTATAATAACCAAGATTTGGTTATAGTGATCAAGTGGCATAGTTGGATATAGCGAAATAAATATCTAGTTCACGAAAGTCTGCAATTTACTTGGTACTTCTAGTTGGGACAAATGTATATTTGTTAATAATAACAAAACGACTACCTTGAGTGGACAATATTGTTGGTTGATACAAGTTTTAAATTAGTTTTGTGAACTTGCTGTAGACGTGAATCAGCTAACCGTTTATTATTGGAAAAAAAGTTCCAGTTTGACACAAATAAAAATTTACTCGATGGTGGTTGTTGTGTTTACTTTCTTCTTTTATTTGCATATATTAAGCAAAAAAAATACATACATATTTACATAAATAGTTACTAGTGTAAATAATACATATTTATATGGTGAATATGAAACAGGAATAGTCGTACGAAAACCCTGGTCAATATCTGCTGGGAGTGCTGCTTTATGTATACTGCTTTGCTTTTTCCTTGGCTAAGTAGATACTTTCAAATTATAATTCACATGAATTATATATCCACTGAAAAACCCCGAATGGCATCAAACTTTATATTTTTAAATAACTATGCGCACACCGAAACAACTCGCGGCGATGGCAAAACTGAAACTGAGACAAACAAGTCTGGGCATGTCATAGCAAACACTTTTCTTTCTCTACCTAGCGCAGTGATCGACATGCCATAGCTGACCACACGCGTGTTTCACCCATATACGAATCGCGGTAACGGAGCAACGATTTCCACGCACACAGTCTCATTCACTGAATCGTTTTTATGCAATGGTCGGCATACTAGCGCATTCAAACTATTCAATAAGTGGGACTGTGTACATTGCTTAGCTGGCGCTCTTCGGATGTGAAACAAACATGTGCTCAGAGAGCGCTGAGCATTATTTAGGGGTGGCTCACAAGCATGAATATGTTCCGCTCTCAAACCAAATCGTGGTTGCCTCAACTAAGATTTGCACCCCTATGCTGTAATCCGTCGTAGATTCGATTTTGCTACGAATCTTAAAATTGGTATGCTGTAATCCGCGTTGCCGTATCGTAATTTCGAAATTCGGAGACCATCTTCGAAATTCGTAATGTTGGTATGCCTGAATCCGACGTAGCTGTAATTTGTATGTATTTGTCGGAAATTTTCTACGAAGAGCAACTGGTGTCGGAGCGAAGCGAATTCTTTTAAAATATCAATAAAATAAAGTGTGGAAACGCAAAAATATGTATGTAAGTTGAAGTGTGAATAAAAAACAATGTATTATTAAATGTTTACAAAATTATCAAGTCGACAATCAGAACAAATCGCTCGCAATACGAAAAACTGGTGGAATGCATGACCGAAAGACCGGACATTGCCCGAGGCTTTGTAATAGTTAAAGAGGATGTGGTGGAATTTTGGGAAAGCGTTGCAAGATTTAAAGCAACACAATATTTAGTTGAATGGACGCCCTTAAAAAGAGGGAGCATATATTTATCATTTAAGCTAAATGGATCAGAACTGTCTTGTAGCAATCTCCTTTGTATATTAATGCAACAGTTGACTGCAGCATGTTCTTCCTCCTGAGACAAAAGTGCACCGGCCACTGAATCCATTCTATTTTACTTAATTAAGGAAAAGCTTTTTCAAATACGATTAAACATTTTTTTTTTTAATTTCACTGTTCACTTGCGATTATATTTATTTTGATTTGTTTCTGTCAAAGCAGCTGATTAAGAACTTCGAATTTCACTATTTTAGTTGGCAACGCCGTTGATAGTTACAATCGGATTACAGCACACCAATTTTCGAATTTTCGGAACGGAGCTACGAATTCGTAACTACGAACTTTCGGATTACAGCATAGGGGTGTTGGTAACTATGACTAAACCATGTGTTGAAAGAAAGCTTATCTGTATTAGCAGAGCTTAATGACATCCTTTTATGAGCCACACGTTAAGTTGAATGGAATTTGTAGAAATATCCCAACACGCAAAATAAACTTAAAGAAAGTTTTTTTTAAGTTTTCAATTATAAACATTAAGCTTACAAAACGTTGATTTTTTGTTTATAAAACGCTTGAAAGTAAGCGTAATATAATCGAAAAGGAACATTGGTTATAAGCGTAGAAATATAAACTTGTAATAAATGTTCAAAAGAAAGCTTTTTATAAACATTTTTATAACCCTTTATTTAAAGATATTTCATTAAAAACTCATACATAGATTGCTTAACATCTAGAAACTAAACGAAATGCGAATTTTCGGCGGACTCATCTACAGTCGCGAAAATATAAATAGGGAATAGACATTTTAGCATACAAATTCACAATAACACATACAAATTAAGCATAAAAAAGTTAATTATTACATCTTGTTGCGTGCTTTCAATTACTTGCGGTTATTGGCAAATTGAAAAAGCGACATCGATGCAGCTATATATTCCGCTTCATCGCCGCCATTCTCATTGATGAACTTTTCTGAAAAAAATTTAATACATTTTTAATTGAATGTTAAACTAAGAAAGGATAAGGGGAACTCATCATTTGAAGACTCGAATGCTCCACCGATTAGCGCAGCGGGTCCTGGATTGGATTTTTTTTTTTTACCGCATTGGTTTTATTTAATTTTTTCTTTTAATAATATATTTTAAAAAACGTAAACACGTCACTTACGATTGAAAAAATTTTATATTTACTACTTCATGTCGTTGGCATTTACATTTCATTTATAAGTTTAAGTTATTTATAAACATTCGCTCTCAAAACTTATTAAAGGTTTATTTGAAAAAACTTTTAATAAGCTTAATATTAAAAATGCTTATTTAACGCTTATTATAGCAAACTTAATTTAAGTTATTTTTAAAAACGTTTACTGAAATGCTTGTTGGGTATGCTTCAAAAAATTATTTATTAGTATTTACCAAACCCTTCAACTAAATTAACGATTTGGTACAACATAGATGAATATTAGAAGCTTTAATATATTTAGTTATAATTACCAACCCATGGTAATAGTTCCCAATCCTTGGTCACAGTTCCCAAATATTGTCAAAATTCGGGAACTAAATATCTTTAGTTGTCGAAACTAATCCTTTTTCTCAGTGTTGGTTTTCTCATCGCTCGAGCAATATAGCCTTATGATTAGCTTTATCAATGGTGATCACAAACCGATATATGATACATTTCAGATTAGCAGATAAGTTACGGTAGCAGGCCCTGGTCGAATAAATTAAAATTTGTCAAACTTTAAGTTGTGACGGGTGTGCCATGTGACGGGCGTGACCAACAATCGATTTTTTTAATATAAATACTTAAATTCAACAATTTCTATTGAGCTTGAGGCCGTTTTTAATGAAAAACTTATTGTGGAAAAGCAACAATAATATGAAAAAATGGTAGAAGTGATAGCTATTTCGGAAATAACCACATTTCCTCGTCAGACTTCTTTCAGTAGGATTCGAACCGACGATCCCACTGACTCAGCCAGTTGCCTACGCACTGTGCTAAGTTCGGCTTGTGAATTCTTGTTGCTTTTTCCTTTATTTCATTTGTTAAGCCAACTACAATCAAGCGCAGCTATTCCAGTGCTATTTCAACTTGATCATGTGGTTGTTGGTTTTGTTAGTTTTTGTTAATAATTCTATCATTAGAATGTTTAACTTTTAGGTGTGCTCGTCCTTAAGTTATTTGTTTTGGTTATTTTATGACCTTATTACAATTATATTCAACAATTTTTATTGAGCTTGAGGCCGTTTTTAATGCAAAACTTATTGAGGCAAAGCAACAGTAATTTAAAAAAATGGTAGAAGTGATAGCTACCACATTCCTCATCAGACTTCTTTCAGTAGGATTCGAACCGACGATCTCACTGACTCAGCCAGTTGCCTTACTTAAAAGCAATTCGCACATATTCGCCTGTGTCATAGCGTTACATAGCTTTTTTACACTGTGCAAGATGTGTTTTCTTAAAAAAAAAAAACTATTGTTTGCACTTTGTGACGGGCGTGACATTAAAATATGCTTTGCTTCAATATATAATAAAATAATCAGTACTTGCCCGAAAATATTGAAAATTACACTGTTACAATGCAAAAAAGACAATAGACTACGAAAATCAGTCTTGTCAATTTTGAAGAAAATTAACCTCTCATATGAGTTTGTAAACGATACAACCTAAAGTAAAAAAATATCTGATTTTGGGATAAATTTCGAAATTGTAGTTTTCAGCCTTGGAAGTTAGATTTATTTACTATAATTTATTTGAAATAATAAACACGAATTCTTAAGTTTATTTTCGTTTCATTCGGTGTCGATTACCGGGGAATGAGCCTAATGTATTTCCGTTTTATTAATAAAATGCTTTTTTGTGTTTGTAGCAATGCCGCCGTCTATGAATCGGATAAGCTTTAGCAGTGTAGCTCATCAGTTGCCGGCAACATCTGTACCGCCATCGACTACGTCTGATCACCAACAAATATCTCACTCAACCATGGCGGCAGCTGGCTCCACTCCTGTCGGCGTTTATAATCCTGGGCCTCAACTCACCCAAGTGGGTCATATTCAACTAAGACAGTCTTTGCCGCCCATTTCTCAATTTGGTCACTTGCTACCTAATGGACCGGCAAATCAAATAAGTGATGCCAACAACGGTAAGTTTTTCTTATAAATAGGTGCAAGTTTTAAAAACATCACGATGTGTAGTTTTACCACCAGATCAACTGCAGCAGCAGCAACTTCCTCATCATCCCCGCCCACAACAATTTGGTCTCCTACCAAATGCAACGCAACAGCCACCACAAAATGCGTTTATGACACCGCTACCGACAGTTGGAATGGCACCACGCTTGCTGCCACTCAATCATGGCATGCATAACCCGGCAAATGGTGGCGATCAATATAGTCAATTACAAAATCAAATGGCAGCAATATCTCTCACAGGTGGAGCTAATCAGCCGGTAACACAAAATTTCCTTGTACAAAATGATCCAAAATATAACATTCCAATTTACCAGCAGCAACGGTAAGACGATGGCTGGTGTCGAATATACTTCATAGCTAATTTTCTACTCTAATATTTTTGTTAAAAACTTTATGTCTACATTCATACATACACTTGTGATCAGTTAATTAAGCCAGCAGCGTTTTAATTAATTTTGAATATTTTTCATTTGTTTATTTAATGTTTATTATTTTTTTCATAAAAGCCTAGCTCATTACTTTGTGCAACAATTATAAAACAATTATAAAACAAAAAAATTTCATCTAAATTTTCAACTTTTTCATCAGAATTCTGAGATTATGCAAAAGAAATACAGCAAAAATATATCGAAATATAGCTGGCTTTATTAGCCGTTCACAAGTGTATTTACACTGGCGGCAAAAACTGATTAAATGGTGTTTTGTTTTTTCAAGCTAAACTCAAAAATATGGTTCATGCTTATTCAGAAAAATTCAAAAAATTTTCATAAAAAATTTGGTCTTTTTAATAAGAACTTTATAAAATTTTTGCGTATGCAGTTACAATAAGAAATCTAAGTAAAATAAGGCAAGTTTTAAGTGGCTACAAAATCGTACATTGCTACAAATTTGCTCTTTTTCCATATAAACATTAATTTCTTGTGGAAGAAAATGCGCGAAAAGGATAAAAAAAATAAAGCCACTTATTATAAATTGCTCTTTTTATATAAAAAAACCCGCAATATTAAAAATCTTTGCGATTTTTAGCAGCTTAAAACTCACAAAATTGTTATAAATTCTGATTAAACAGCTCAAAATTTTGATGAAAATTATTTGAATTTTTCTAAATTCTGTACAAAGTTTGAAAGTTTGATTTATATGGTTTTGGTTAAAGTATGACTATTTTTATAAAAAAAACATAACAAAAAAGTTTATCCAATTTTGACCGCCAAAGTATATTTTAACAACAAGACAAATATCTACAGCTATTCGGCATAATAAAACAGTTGCGCGAAGTTTAGTATTGCATTGCCTTGGTTAATTGTGGGTAGTTAACGCTCTGTTTTTCGCGAAAATGTATTTTTACTTCCTACATTCTTGCGTATTTTTATTAGTTGCGAGGAGCGAATAATGTAAGGTATTTTATTTGCCAATATTACTATTAAGTTGTTTTAAATTATGGACGAATGTATTGTTTGGTTACTTGAGCGGTGACAGGTAATAAGGTCAATGGAAATAAGGTCAATTGACTTTATTTCCCACCCTGGTGCGAAATAAAGTCAATTGACATTATTACCTTTTCAAAAGCGAAATAAAGTCAACAAAAATTTGGAAATAAAGTCATTGACGCTATTTCCTCATTCAAATGGAAATAGCGTCAACAATGCTTAACGTATGTCGATTCATAGAAAAAAATGTTGTTCTTACAATAAACATTGCCCCGTAAGTGTTGTTTTTTAATAGATGAAAAAGGTTGTAGCCAAATCCTCAGTGTTGTGATATTAATCCACATACAATCTTGAAATCCCACCAATTGATTTCATTAAAAAAATTTAAATTACGAATATGTAAAAACGCACAGCTGGAATACGAGAAATATTTGAAGAAAGAGTGTAGAAATGATCCATAACTTGCAAAACAT